CCAGTGAAGAAGAGTAGATACTCTGGAGGGAAATTAAAAGCACATTACATTGGGCTCCTGCTGTGCTTTGCCTCTGGAGATGTTTCTCTCTCTCCACTGACCTGGCTCCCTAACGAGGCATGTAAACTAGGGAATCCCCCCAGCAAGTGTGCTTGCTTGCAAAGGGGGAACATCCAGGATACCTGCCTGGCCTATCTGTACTTCTGACCAAATCAACTAGTACCACAGGAGGTCGAATAGGAATTAAAGAAATGGCATTGGCAGGAGCAGGTTTAACACCCCAAGCCTATTAGGGGAGAGAATGCAGCATTATTGATTCCAGCCCCTGACCTTGAAATGATGTAAATAAGAGTGCAGCAACCCCAGAGGAGCTGTAGCAAAATAGCTATAGCATTGCAAGCAGATTAAAAAATACAGTTAATATATATACTTCCCCAGATGCTTGTTTATTATTATGCAAGACATGTTTATTATGCAAAATGATAGAGCAGAAAGAAAAAGCAGAGAAAAAGAAAATGCAAAGACACACTGAGCTCTTAACGTGACTTGGGTTTTTTCAATGCTGTTTAGATTTTTTTATTGTGCATAATCATTCCCTTATTAGCAGGACTCTCTGAAGTGATTCAAGCTCTAATTTCAGCATTTCAAACTCACAGGTTTATAGTGTAAAACCATTCTGAGCTCTTGTAAGCGACCCATTTTTTTCCTCTGTATTCTGTATCTCTGCTAGGGTTTTCTCAGTCTTTCCAATAAATTATGTATCACGATTTGCCATTTCAAAAATAATTAGAACTCTGAGTTAAACAACAAGGAAAATCTGAGAGCAGTACATTTTAGAAGAGAAGTGTTATGCACTTGGGGCAAAACCAATCCCAGCTGTAACGCCACTGAATTATACATATCATATTGAGAGCTGCAATTTCAGCATACTTGGAGTGATTGGGTGGGCCTGTGGAGGCTCTACAGCCCCATGATGAGCAGCTGCTCCAGGAGAACCAGGTTTGCCTCTCAGGCAAAACACTTCACAGGCACTCCCTTCCCCATGCCTCTGTGAGTTGTTGCAGCAGGGATAGTGGAGAGAAAGCTGGGCGCCGAAGAGAGAAACTTCACGGAGAAATGTTATACAGGAGTAGAAATTAATTTGGTGGTGGAACTATTAACTCCAGTCAGAGACGGGAGAGCACGTTCTGTGTCTTCTCCCGTTATGATTAGGCTGTAAACTCACTGGAGCAGGACATACCTCTTTATTCTGTGTTTCCCTCTCCTCTGCAACAACCAGCCTTTGGTCTCAGCTTCCCAAGCACCGAGACAGTGTAATATCCACTGCCCTTCATTCATTCTATATATTTTTTGGCATAAAATGCTAACAGTGGATCCCCAGGACAGTCATGTCACTCCCCAGAACAGGTGCTGATAAAAACCTTTGTGCACCATCAGGGAACTTACAGCTGCTCTACATTACAAGAAATCAAACGGGAACACACCAATGACTCGACAAGCTTGCTATGAAGACAGTGTTTTGCATCCTGCTGTCTGCAAAGCCAGGTGCCTCAGACCAAGACCTGATTTTCTTGCCTACTAAGCACCTAATTCCCCAGCAGACCTCTGAAGTAGTGATAAGCTAGTCTGGAAAAAAAAATCAGGTATCTAGTGTAAGTAAACAAAGTACAAAAGTCATAAACAGCTGCTTCCCAAGCAAAGAGGCTTTGGCATCTAATGCATTCAGGCCTCTGAAGCTGGCTAGGGATCTATGGCTGGCTTCAACCCAGCAACCCAACCCCACGCTGTCCCTACCCACCCCTAACTGAACAGAAGAGATGAGGAAACTCATTGCTAAAGGTATCAATGTGGCCGAGCACATAGAAGGGTCTTGCATGTTTCTGCAAAGAAAGAGCCTTCTCACCAAGTTTGACTTCAGAGGACCCCGCTCAGCCCTGCTTTTGTGCTGATTGGCACCAGGAGGACTTTTTCCAAGGGCTAGTTATTCTAAACCCATTCATTCAAGAGCCCATTGGCCCAAACTCAGAAGGAGCTGGCACAAACCATCTCTGAGACCAGGCTGATAATAGCCTCTGGTTTGATCCAGGGCAGAGGATGTCAGCCAAGGTCTCAGCTGACGCACACAGATTGAATATCACCAAAAAAACCAACACCAAACAAAAACAAAACAAACCCACCGTGATCATGTGTTCAGTCACAGCCACAATCTGGACTCAAGAGGAGGAAATAAAAAAAACAACCCAAAAACATTTCCCTGGACGGTTGCATTTTATCTGAAAGCAGTCCTGGGCTTGAGGGTGTTATAAGAAGTCCAGCAGGGCTAGGCCTGGGACAGGCAGCAGGGGAGGCAGCCAAGCAGCAGAAAAAGTTCATTTATTAATGGATCTGCATGAGTGAACAATACCTATGGGGCATACTGATCCCTCAGAAAAGGCTAGTGAAAAAAATAGGTACATGCACAACACCAAAGGAAATTGGCCTGAGACAGACCAGAGCTGTACTTTAGGGTCTGCTAAGCAAAGGAACAGGGACGATGTGTCCTCTGGTGTGGGCAGCCATCGGGTCCAGGTGGCACAGCCGGGTGCCTTGCTCGCCCCAGAGAGGAACAGACTGTCAGGTCCTGCCAAAGCAATTCTCCAGCACAGTCTTCAAGACTGACACAGCCATGCCAAATGTTGGCTTCGAGTAGGATCCCAGCCCCACAAAGAAAACCGCAGCATCCAAAACAGACTGCTTGAACAGGCTGAGCTCTTCTCAGCCATATCCAGTTCTCTTATAGGACCCAGGTCTCATCCCTTATCTTTGATGCTATGAGTGGCTTGACCTACACTCCCTGCTCCTAACAGGCTTTATCCACTAATTTTCTTTTTTCTTGTCTTGGGGTCTGCTCCAAAGCACAGTGAATTCATTGATTTACTGCTCTAAGACAGAGACCAGTCAATACAAGAAGAAAATTTGGTCCAGCAAGCTCCATCTCCCTGGATTAGAGATGGGCCAATAGCATCCCTTTACTGCAAGTAGAAACCTTGCATCATGTTGATGAAATGAACAGTTTAACTCTCTGATTAGTTCAGACAGAGCTGGATGCCATCAAGCCATGGCATGTAATGAGTTCCACTTCATTAACCACTGGCCACCATGGTGCACCCTTAGCCTTCCCTGATTAACCTTCCTATTTAAGATAGGCACACTTGCTGGGAATAAGCAGACCCCATTAAACCACCCTCATTTGAATACATGTATGACCTGGTGCCTTTTAGGAAACTTTATACGACTAGCAGATATGTTTCCTGGACATGCAGTCTTCCTGCTGCCCACCATCTCTTGGTATGTCCCTCCCACCCTTTGCATCGTCTCACTACTGCTAGCAGGACATCCTTTCCCTCTGCATCATCTCTAATCTCTCAGCTGTCAAACATTATGTTTCCAACTCTCCATTTCTTTTGCCTGAGCCCCACACCTTTCCCTCCCTTGCACTATTTGTTCAGAAAATGCTACCCCTCACTGCTCCAAAAAGATCCACCCTGGCTGGATGTGGCTCCAACACACTCCACTTTCCTGCAGTCCCCATTTACGGGGCACCGGTGGTACGAGGAGCCTCAGCACCAGGTCAGGACCCCTTTATGCCCAGCGCTGCACAAACACAGGACAAAACATTAGTCCCGACCCCCCTATGTACCTAAAGGGAAGCACACACGATAACGCAGTACCACACCGTGCTTGGTATTACCTTTAGGACTCTGACAGTTTTACAGAAAGAGGAGGTTTTCATTGTTAGTAAACCAATGTAATTTATTTAGAAGCAGTCATTTGTGTTTACTGGGCTATGAAAGAACAGGAAGCGTCTGGCATTCACAGAGATCCAGATTGATCTGTCTTTTCTTGACAAGCAGCCAGTTTTGAGACCTATCTCGCCAGGTCACATGCACTTGCTGTTTTCTACCCTGAGCCACTGGGGAGACAGAGCTTTGTTACCTCCCAAAGGAAAGGGGGAAAACCCAACCATGTGAGTGCTTTAAAACTGACCAGAAATGAAGACGGATGGTAAGAGTTAGGAAAACACTGCGTAGGAGCAACTTGGACTGTTGTCCTTTCGTGGTCGTATCTCCAATCTCACGTATGCTTTTAAAGCAAAGTGAATGCCTAGACAAGAGCAGAATCGCTGCGCTGTAAATTTACACAAAGGCAGATGAGATTAGAATCTCAGCTCTACACTTTAAAGATATCATAACTACAGAAATGAGAAGTGTATTATTAACTATCACTTTTTACTATGTAGAACTAGAACAAAGTTATTTGAAGCATAAAAAATTCTGGCAAAGGGCTGCCATATTTAATAAATCACTGAATCAATTATTCACTGTGAAAATCAATTACTTACTTTAAATGAGAATCTTATGAATAACCTCATGCCCTTTCATGCCATCTAAGAAAGCTATAGGGGAATTAGTCAGTAAAAAATGCCTCACTTATCTTTTATGTGCATTAAAAAGACCACACAAATACAGGGAAATTCTGCTCCGCTGAAGCACTCTGCCAACAGAATAGTCCAGAACCATTTTAATGAAGTCAGTGTACTGCTGTGGATTTACACTGTACTCAAAAGTAGAGTATGACCCATCGGGGCACCACCTATGATCAGTTATCTGGGCACAATTCAGAAGCAATTCCATTCAGTCCATGCCATTTCACAAATGTGAAACCAGAATATAACCAGCCAACCACACAACCTCCTCTACAACATGACCTACATTAAGTAACTACTCAAAGGAACACAAAGTGTATCTTCACAGGTCAGGAAATATTGCCACAGATCTCCACGGAGACACTTTAAAGTGAATATTGCATGGCCTTGCAGCAGCTCCCCCTGTTCCTGCTTTTAAAGGTTTGCTGATACGTGACCATTTTCAGAAAAAGCTGCAAGTCCCAATGCAGTCTTCTCCTCCCCACCGCCTACAAAACCAAACCACTCCAGGACCCCAACAGTGTGAAGTACTTACTGAGCTGTAGAGATATCCCTCAGCATTCATGGCAACGTACAGACCTGCCTTCACCCCTTGAATTGCCACCACACGAAGACCCACAGGAATTAGATTGAAAAGGGCTGCAGAAGGAAAAGAAAAGCAAAGGTTATGGAGACGTCACCCTGCGTGGCCGCAGCTGCTTTTTGCCCCAGAGCCAGCCCTCCCCACACCTGACTCTTAACCAAGGATACTGAACTAGAATCAAAAGTCCTGCTTCCAGCTACAGGAAAGGTCTGTGGGGCCAATGTTGAAAGCAAATTTTTAAAAGTACTGAATTTAGCTGCCTCCCAGAAGCCTTAACACACCCATCAGTCTGATCACTGCCTTCGCAATGCCAAGGGCTCGTATGGGCACTCAAGCTAGCGCATCTCAACAGCTTTCCGTGGGCCAGCTGAGCTGTGATAACTGCACACGTACACATTTTTGTCCATGGCAAACGCAACAACACAACTTAGTTTAGTTCCCCCTGAAACAGACTTGAGCCTAGTCACACTTTCTTGCATTTGCCATATGCTAAAAGAGTATACAGAGAGCGACCACGGCCAGAAGGATGCAAATTAACTTGACTGTGTGTCTGCCCCCATGATCCCTGCTGTCAAGGGAAAAAAGAAACTCGGGAAAAGATACTGCTCCACTCCAGGACCAGAGCACTGCTTCTCATTCAGAAGCAGCACTAGATGGGATGGAAGAGGACAAGACCTTTCAATACTCAGTTTTACTGCAATCTTATTGATTAAAGCATTGCAACCACTTCCTCCCAATTACTTACTCTATTGCTTGATTCCAGGAACACCCTGTATCTCATTGAAAGACCTTTCCTGTGAGAACACGCATTAATGTACAGTCAGGCTTTTGCTACATTTCTAACAGAATGGGCCCAAAGAGGAGAGGACTGTCACCATTGATAGACTGAGCACTGAGGCATTAGCATAGCTTTGTTTCCACTGAGATTTATAGGACAAGAGTATCCAGATGTTGTAGGACCCCTTGTGCTTCAGCTTACAAAGAGCTAACTAGACCCTGTCCCACGGTGCTCAGGCTATGGAAAGATGGGCAAAGGGTTGGGCAGAAATGTTGAGCACAAACATAATGGAAATACTTCATTCAAGGTATCTTCCCACACAACCGCCCTGAAACAAGAATGTTTTTCCTGGTTCCCTAGTCATGAGGTCAGACTGCCCCTTCCACATTCATGAATGATTTCTTACGGTTTTAACACACATACTTGCAAAAGCTTGCTTAAAACTTCTCAAGAGCTTTCGGGTGTTTAAATTAGCCCAGGGGAGACCTGTTAATGGGCAGAGTGCAGAGGAAAGACTGAGTGACAGAGCACACAGTGAAGCATTCCTATTTTCCAGCTGACTGTTAAGGACATCATCCTCTAGCTGATTCATTTTATAGATCATTTACAACGTTTTATGCCTGACACATCACATTGGAGCAAGCACAGCACAAAGGGGTCTTCACATAATGGTTGTAGGAGAAACAGTCCTCCTTCTCACTGTGTCATCTCCCAGCCTCTCCTTCCCTGGGAGATGGACCACTGCTGATTTAACATTAGCACTGAAGGATAAAGCAGATTTTGCTGAAATGGCCTATTCAAAATGCTATAGCTCCTCAGGCCAGGCTAGTGTTAATCCTGGTATGACGGGAGGGAATAGAGTCCAGCTCAACATCAACCCCCTGCCCCCGAGGAGACTGGTTAGATGCACACGTGCCAGGTAATGCATGGATTTAACTCAACCAGAAAATGCTTCCGAAGAACCTCCCTCATGTACAGCCTGTGAACTATTGCAGAGAGGAGACAGAAGCATGTTCCGATTCCTTTCCAAAGAAAAAAACCACATTTCTAGCCATCATGGAGAGAAAAGGGGTGGCGGGGAGGAAAGAACTGAAACTGTGGCTTGATTCTTTCCTTGCCAGTGGTTCAGACTACAAAATCTGAACCAAAGTCCCAGGAGTCACACAATTTCTAAGAGAAAAAGCAGAGCCTAAAGGATGTGCGAAATGTCATGGAAAACTGGTTACATTCGTCCTGAACTCTTGGTTGATCTGATTAAAGGTCAGAGGTGGATACCTTTTCAGAAGTAAAATTTGACAAAAGCACAGGAGACACAAAGCCACTTTGCTCAAGACATCTAACAGGTGCCCTGGCTGAGCTGGTTTCAGGGTTGTCCCCAAAAAGGGATTCATGAATCTCATTTGCATATGAATGCCCTTCTTTCTCACTCAATTCTGAAGGAAGACTGGATGACTCCCCTCCGGGAGCTGCCTAAAAGGGAGGCACCCTGAGTCTGGTGAAAAGAAACCTACCCCCAGCCCCTTTTCCTGCCTTTAAGCACCATATTCAGTAAAACATCAAAGCGTGTGCTGAAGTCTCACCAAAGCCAGTGCCTATATTTATGTGATCTCGTGGGAGGACGTCACCAGATGTATATGGCAAACAAAGTCCAGCCTGGGTATTGGTCTGTGAACAACTGGAGTCAAGGACGGTGCTACTCTGATACTGTCTCCAGATGAGACAAACACACCCCAGTATAGCTACTCAGCATTAAAGAGCTGTGTTATAGTGCAGTTCTACCGTTGAAAAGCTCACTAACCAAGGCAAGCTTGTATTTCTATCACTTTCTCACTACCATGAAGGTCTAAAACCCTCTGCAATTAACAAGTCCATTTATAAGCAATTCCCCTTCCCTAATTTTTCCCCCCACTGAAAAATGGAGCATATTACTGCTAGTAATGAAACAAAATGGGCATCATCATTCATTCCCTACAGCCAATTTGTCTTGCATAGAAAACTTGTGACAGACCATTCAAAGCATTCATTAGGCAGTAAGATGGTAATACCCAGAGTTAGCAGATGAGAAGTTCCACCTGGAAGCACCCACATCTCCAAATCTCTCTTTCCACCTCTACATGCTAAGGGAGCACAGGAACAATCCTGTTGTGCCCTGTTACAGTAGCAAGACTGCCGTGGGCTCCGAAAATCTCTGGGATGCTGCTGCAGACCATGGTAGCAACACCCACAATCATGGCTTTTAGGCATGGCAGAGCATCTCCTGCAACATACTGCAGAGCAGGGGAGCGACTGGCCAGGCAAACAGGAGGACATGCATCTGACATAGGTAACTGACAGCCAAAGAAGTTTTAGGAAGCAAATGTCTTCCTCTGTTAAAAAAAGTGGTTTGGGTCAACCAGAACTTTGTAAATTCACAGAGCTGTTTCTGCACTCAAATCTAGAAATATCTTTGAAGAAGTTCAAGCCTTTTGTTATCGTGCTTCCAAATGAATATTTCATCTTGTTTTGGAACAGATTTCAAGCTTATAAGCTTTATTGTAAGAATGTAAAAATGTGAGGGGGAAAACCCTCAACCAACCTCAAAAGCAAGATGTCTCATTTTTTTGTCAGGAAAAAAATTCTGGTTAACATGAAACAGCAGATTTAGAGATGGGGAAGAGGACTAGCTGTGGTAAAGTAGGACTGGCCACAGGGTGTGCTGACGTGAAAAAGAGAAAATTTAACAAATGCTTTTAAAACTCATTCTCCACTGCAAGTGGTAAATTTTCTATGCCACCTGCAACTGCATAGACAGGGCATGCTCTTTTGCTTCGTGGGCAGAAGTGGAAAAAAATTAAGACATTGAATATTTCTGTATATTTTCTTCCATTACATTTTACCATTTTCAACCATCAGTAGATTTACACCCGATCCTGCTTATTGATAATACTACTTTTAGCACGTTCCAGTCCTACACCCTTTAACTATGAGTATGTTGGTCATTGTTATGTTATGTCATTTTATCAGCTGCATAACATGTTTTTGAAATCTGAACACATACTTGGCTATGAGTCTGGGCTAACTTATTTACAGAAATGGAAGAGTAAAGCAAGACATGCCATATAGAAGATATGGTCCATATGCTCAGCTGACTTAAACAGTAGTAAGTCAGAGGAGCTAAACTAATTTATACCAGGTGATGTGTTGTGGAGCAGGACATTTGTGCTGCACATAAGGAAGAACTAATGGAGGATGCAATAGGTAACAGCAGCCTCGGTGCACCATGAAATGGGGAGGTTTAAGATCCTGAGGGGGGTGAGGAAGGCTGCTAAGATGATCAAGAGGCTGTGATGCAACATATATGAGAGAAGAAACTGAGGGAACTGGGTTTGCTTAGCAAAGAAGGGAAAGCCAGAGACAGACTTTTCTGAGGGGAACACAATGAAAGGACAAGAGGCACTAGACAAAAGCCTCAGAAAGAAGTTATGACTGATATAAAGAAAATTCTTCACAATGAGAACAGTGCAGCAATGAAACCAGAGAGGTTATGAAGATATGGAATAGCTCATTCCTGGAGACATTTGAAACAACTAGAAAAGGCTCTGTGCAGCTGAAGATAACCCAGCTCCAAGTAGGATGTTGTACTGGAGACCTCCAGAGTCTTAATCTTTTTGTGTTTCTGGCTGGAAGGCCCCAGACAATATCCTAGATGTGCTGGGCTGTTTCCACCTGGTCAGTACAGTTGACCTATCCTTTATATACTGTCCATTTGCTGAGGCTTTTCAGATGGTCAGCAGGATTATGCTGGCAAAGAAAGAAGTCCAGTTGCTCTCACGAAGAAGGGGCATTACCCTGCTCAGCCCAAGAAAGAGCAGTAATGGTGCAAGCACCGACAGCAACAGTCAGCCCTGAAAGACCATTTGAGATCACCAGAGTTGGAAGGAAAAGATACTGCCCCGAATTCAGATTCATATATAACATTACTAAAAACACAAACAAGGGCCTCGTACACCATGAAACTTCGCTCCGATTAAGAGACAATTCTTCATATATCCCAATGCAAGTAAGCAGAGAATCTGTCTTCTTGCTTATATTAACATGGCGTGCCTTTAACTGCATGGTATAAGGAACAGATGTCCCAAGCGCATTTTCGCAGGAAGCTGGCTGGATGCCCATTCAAATGCCATTAGAACTTGGCTTCTGGGTTTGTTTTTTTTTTTTTCTTTAAGTGAGAGGAGGTGGAAATAAATGCCATCAGCCTCTCAAGAACACACATAAAATGGGCACCAGATAATTAATTTTAAAATTGTTTAAATATTAGCAGTTCCTCTTATATAAATAAATGGATTTTTATTAGAACTTTTAATTGCAACAGACATATCTGAGGGACGTCTTGTCTCATTTTAAACATTTATTTTGCCAGAGTAAACCAGCCTAATGTATTCCATGAAAATTAAGCTTCCTTTCATAATGCTAATCTGAATAATCAGTGTGCGGCTACAGAACGCAGAGCCAATGGATGGAACACAGCGTTCACCATGTATTTAACCGTGCTAAGATGGCTTCTGCATGGAGAACAGACGGTCATCCAGGGTGGGAAGGATCCTGCATGGCCATCAGGATTGCCCTTCTCCACCAGCGGATGTCAGTTAACCAACCCTTCTCCAGGGACAGAGAAATATTATTTATCTAGTCTTTGATGAGTTTTGCCCTTGCACAGAAATACTGCACATACTGCTGACTGGCTGGGCAGGAATCTCCTGGAGAAATATTTTAAAATGGAAAATATCAGTGAAGTAAATCTGTAAGCTGTTCACCTAGACAAGCGAGTTTTGACTTTTCTGGTCAAAAATTGAGATATTTGAAGGAATAGAAAAGGAGAAAATAGTGTGCTTTATTTTGGCATTTCCAAAGTGAAAAATGTGATTTTGTTTTGAAGCTATAACCGGAAGCTTCATATAATATAAAATGTTGACTCAATCTGAAGATTTATAAAGGACAGTCTGTGATAAAAAGTTAAACAAAACTGAATTAATGCACATTCTGCATTTCATTTTCAGGAGCCAAATATCAGGCTGGATTTTTTCTCTTTTGATATCCCCTGAGATCAGGGGATGGGGAATTCTTTGGCTTCAGTCTGCTCTCAAAAACTTCACTCAACTTTCCAACATAGCCCATGACTTTGAGCAAGTGGCTTGGCACGCTTCAGCTAGATGCCTCCTGTCCCACCAAGCTGCCAAGGTAGGGCTGCCATCTCACCAGATAAATTTACGCTCTAGAAGTGCCCCTCAGCCCATCTATTTCCAATTGAGAAGACTAGGTGGAAGTGGCTCACAGGTACTCAGCACCTTGCCAAACCAATCTCTAACATTTCTAATGGGATACATAAATAAGAGCTGTTCAGGCGACTGGGGGCCAACCTCAGTCATGGGGACTCAGGAGGTTCCCCTGCACCCACCGAGGTGCAGACAGTGGCAGCTTCCCTCATCTCCCCTGCCAGCCTGAAATATTGCAGAACTGCTCTTACATTTTATTCTCCTCTGCTGTTTACCTAAATTCATCTCTCCTTCCATTTAAGCCCATTAATTTGTTGTTCGGTCCTCACTGATAGATGAGCATAATGAATCCCTGGCATCTCTAGCAGCTCTTCCCATGTCGTTGACAAATAGGCCTCCAATGGGATTTTCTGCAGATTGAGAACACCCTATGTCTTCTTTCTTCAAGAAAAAGCAGCTAATAGAACCCAACACTGGGTCATTACTCACCCACTAAAGCCCACTGAACTCATCACATATGTTGGTGTCTGCCTGAGAAAAATCACAAGGCCAGACTCTTCTTGTAGGAAGAGACCTGCTCAGTCTCTCATGGAGTAAAAGTCGGGGGGGGGGAGGGCCACAGGTTCTCCTGCTCCAATGTAAATTAGAAGTTGTGTCATTGCAATTTGTGGTATTTCATTTGTTCAACACCAGCATATGAAAAAGGGGACTAAAACCTGACACTTGCATCTGCTACAGGCCAAGCTTCTGGTGAATGCAGCCTCTCGGGTCATTTCACAAGGCCTTTGCCAGCCTCCTGCAATTTTAGTTGCCATCTTCTCAAAGCTCCTCTCTCGTGCACTGCTCTGCACACAGACCCCAGCCCTGAGCTGGCTGCAGCAGAGCAGCCCCACCACACACAACGCTCCCGCCACAGCACCCTGCCAGCTTCTTGGAGATGGGGCAAGGACCATGGATGTGGGGCTGCAGCCACCTTGCACCCTTGTCCAAGCACACCTTCACAGGACAACGTCCATGCCCTGCTACGTGGGCTGCACCACTGCAGACAGCTCCTATCTGCAGCCCAGGCCCTGCCTTCCTGCAGAAACGATGCCTTCAACCCAGCTAGGAGCTTCTCTGAGTTAGAACAAGATTTGTCCCCAATTTAAGTAGGTTTCCCCTTTCACAAAGTACATGAAGTTTGCTTCCATCAGTCCTACCACACAGATCAACTTCTGTTATAATTTAGTAACCACCAACTAGTAATGACTGGGAAGATACCTTCCATGCTGGACAGGCTAGATAAAATGCCTCTTCAGCAGCGGCACAGGGAGCTTCAAACCAACATGGGATGACCCAAATCAAGACTTAAGTCCTACTCTGTTGATGCAGTTTGTGGCACCAAGGATCGGAGCTTATTACTGCCCTCACAGAAGGATGAATCTGAGGCCTATGAAATTAAGAGATGCTGTAGAAAATATCCTGCACCTTTTTTAACCTTGAGGAGCTTTAGTATTGACAAAACTACTTCTTGTGCAAAAGAAATATTGGCCACTGCTTTGCATTTGTTTAAGCCAATACGGCTCCTGCACATGAGCATCATTTTTAAACCTACGTGGCTCTGCTACACTTTGCTGTCCTTTGTTGGACAGCATGAACCCAACACCTTTGAACAGGGTTTTGGAAGACAACCTCCTTTGGAAAGGTCATTTGATACCCTCAGCCTTGACACTAGCCTCAAAGCACTAGGCTTTAGTGAACAGCTGTTTTTCTCCAGCCTGGAAATTCCTGATGATTGCTGAATTTTTCAGGATAAAATAGTGAAAACAATTTTCTCCTCTTCTCCTTGGAGAGAGAATTCCCTGTATCCTTTACCCACGTGGCATGTGTATAAATAATCTCCTTTCTCTTCTGGCAGCAATTCAAATCATGGGTTTTATTCTCCACCCCACCCAGATGGCAGTTACAGAATCGGGGCGGGAGGGAAGATCAGAGAGGAAACATATGAAATTGTACAGGCAAGATTTAAAGGGGAAGGATAGATAGAAAAAATGTGCAGAAAACAGCTGGCTTCTTCCTAATTTGATCTTTTCAAAAATAAAGCTGCACAAGTGAGACCCACTAGGTGATGTATTTGATTGTAATTGAGTTGCAAAACAGGCTAATTTTTCTTACTGTAGTCGCTGTTTTCGTCCTTGGTCCCATCAATTGTACCATCTGGGTGCATCTGCAGGAA